TATATTGTCGAGGCAATATAGTGAGAATGAAGAGCATACACGAGCATCTCCCAGACTGCAACACCTTCCCTGTCTTTCTTTATTTGTGTAACGACTGTCCTGATTTTGTTCTGTCACAAAATAACCCGCACCTCCTGTACCTAACTGTGGTGCCCAAGGTACACCCCCCCCCCACCCAGGAGCAGGTACATAAATCTACAGTTGAGAAAATTGAGACGGTCGAGTACCATGCCGGCCATACTGCCTCATTGTGTACCGAAATCTTAGTATGCAGTGTGCTGATCTAAACATTCCCTATGGGGCGTCACGCTCCAGGAGCCTATTTCCTTATCACTTACCTCACAGCAGCAAAACGTTCGTTTTTTTTTTTTACCCTCTCGAGTATTTTCCAATTTTTATAAGCATATAACATCGCCTTCGTCTTCATCATGCATTTTTAAACATATTTTGCTTTTTTTTATTTAAATAATGAAGGAAAATATTGTAGTCAGATTTTCACTCCTTATGTCGTATTAATGATTTTGCAATATTATGCAGCAGTCGAGGGGCGAATCTTGCAAATGATGTTTGTTGTCCAAACACTTCCATTCCCAGGTTAACACTATCCACACAGCAACGCCAAAGTTAAATCTATCCACAATTCTACGTATTCACACTCACGTCCACCGTGTTCAAACACCCTCGTGAGAGTCACCCCACAGTCACATAGTTACACAAACACACTTTCTAGAAATATACAACGTCATACTAACATGCTTCCTAGATATTCACGTATTCATATTTACAAACTTTCTACACAGTCGCACAAACACTTTCTTCTGGTTTTCACACCACACTAACACATTTTTCGCACAAACTAAATGAAATATACTAACTAAATCCGCCTCATAGTACAATAAAATGGTTAAAATAATATAACTTTACCATAATACATATAATATGTCTGGATTTATATGAACTTTAATGAAACAACCAATAACCTATTGATCGGAACGCCACCTAATCTCGGGTGATCTCGCCTAAGGATTCGTGACACTATCATTCACTGTACACACACACACACACACACACACACACACACACACACACACACACACACACACACACACACGATTTCACTAACCGAGTATCCAGACTACCTCAGCACCGATCCATTCACCTGGATGTGAGGAAGAAATACAATTTCAAAAGCAAAAATATTGCACCACATCGATCTACTCTGTCACAAGTCACTGGCCACACATTCACATCATTACACTAAGAAATAAGGTAATCAGGGGCAGCCTTACCTTACCCCAGCTGCACTATTGACGCGGGAACGGGAACCCTAACTCTTGTGACGTTATCTCAGTGTTCGCTCGTGATGATACAGTGGCTCCTACAAAGAGTAAACACTCCAGATATGATTTTTTTATCGGCTTCCGAGACATGATGACTAAAAAAAACTTGCACATTTTTGGTTATTGTGGGCCTTGACCTTTGACCTATCAAGGTCAGATTTTTATATGGGACCCCATGGGGTCTTCAAAGTTGACTTCTATATCATTTAATTTGGGATGCATGTACAGTATATTTTTACATCCATATTATTTTTAATTTTCAAATTCACATTTTGCGTAGTTTTCTGGAAAAAAAGTGACGTCATAGAGAAATATTCCCTTTTGAAATATTTAATTCCTGAGTTCTAGAGATAATTGTATTTTTTTTAAACTTTCGGTGACGATAACCTTGACATATGACCTTGACCTCCCATAAAGTTCAATTCTTACTGTCGACACAACATAACTCTCCGTCAGATGTGTATAAATTCCCCTCTCAGTGATTGCAACCTGCAGATCCACCACTCCCACCTCTCTCTGATGTCCACCAACTTCATACCGGGAGATTTCCTTTCTTATGTTGGTCACTCTCCCAGTGGCTTTGTTTTCTTGGCCACCGTTGCAGTAGGATACAGATAAATTCTCCACGTTTCTTCTCGCTGAAACTGTTTTCCTTGACAAATGTTTAGTGCTGTTGTCGTTGATACATGTATGGTAAAAATATTGACAACTATTTCAGACAAATTACCAGCCCGGAAATACGTTAAGGAGAGAGAGAGAGAGAGAGAGAGAGAGAGAGAGAGAGAGAGAGAGAGAGAGCAGTACCTTTGGTGAGTTTGGTCCCTGTGTTGAAAAAAACAGAAACTTAAACTGTGAGGCAACAATACGCTTTGGTCATAAAGAGTGTCTGACTCTTTTTAAGAATTCAAAATTGATATTTCCTACCGTGTGATTGATAAATAAATTTAGTGTGACAGCACGTATGCATCTTACACTAGTATCTCCTGCCATCGAGTTATTACCCCGTACCAGTTCTTTATAACACTACTCTTGGCTTAGGATATAGGGGAGTTCCCTTTCTTGACAATATCACCGCCCGTTAAACCTTACATATTCGTCCCCTTACCAGGCCTCTCAAGTGTCTCAAACCACCGTCCAGTGCCTTTCAAGATCTGCCATATCCTTTTATTGCTCTGACATATGACCATCATCGCCATCTTTCACAACCCTCACAAACACCTCCTCCCTATTCCTCTTCAGATGGACACTCCTTTTCGTTTTTCTCTTTCCAGTCGACCATCTTCTCTGCCACTTCTTCCTCCATTTCTACTTTCTTGAAAAAAAAAGTCAAGTTACCATTACGTGTATTCCTGGTGGCGTCTTGCGGTTAACTGTGGCCTTGTATATTCGTCCTGCAGGGGCGTGTGGCTCCGAGGTGGCTGCCGTTCTTTATATCTTCCCCGTTATCAAGCTCTCTTACAGCTTCATAAATTCACTTTGAATATCATCTTGGAGTTGTTGGATCTTTTGAGAAGTCATGAAGGAGAGACGATATTCCACTGTGAGTCATCGGGTGTTCCTCCTCCTCCTTTGCTTTACATCATCGCATATAGAGTGCTGTTCTATTGTTGCTCAGCCTGAGTTTGGGAAAAGCT